CTAGCCTTTGGGATTCCCAACAACTGTGCCTCCTACAATCCTCAATTTCAAGCAGTTCTCTGACCACCACCTCCTATTTTTCCAGCTCACTACTTCTAGTCCCCCAAGTCCAATAACTCTTTAATTGGCCAGGATCTGACTCTACCATCCTCTCACTTCCTCTGGTCCCCTCTTCCCTCCTGGAGCAGCCTCATGCCACCGTTAGTCATAATAAACACCTTCTCACATTTGTAATGCCCTCAGCCTGCTCTATTCTTTACACTTTCCTGGCAAAACCTTAACGCTGATGAGAAATAATTCTTCACTCTGCACCTGCACTTGTGCAGCTGAACATCTCTGGAGAAAACACACAGCCAGAGTGACTGGTTTTAGATTCAGACCATGAACTTCACGTGTTCCTCAGAGCTGCCTGGCAGGCAGAAAACCTTCCCCAAGCACACTGCTCCCTCTTTGTTCTTTCTTCTAGAACTCTTTCCACCTCTGTCCTCATCATTTTTTTTTCTTTTTTTTGAGACGAAGTCTCACTGTCACTCAGGCTGGAGGGTAGTAGTGTGATTACAGATCACTGAAGCCTTGACCTCTGGGCTTAAGGGATCCTCCTGCCTTAGCCTCCCAAGTATCTGGGACTACAGGCACATGCCACTACACCTGGCTAATTTTTAAAACTATTTTGTGGAGACAGAATCTCACCATATTGCCCAGGCTGGTCTTGAACTGCTGGGTTCAAGCAATCTTCCGGCCTTGGCTTCCCAAAGTGCTAGGGTTACAGACATGAGCCACTAAACCCAGCCTCAGCTTCTTATTTCAGAGAAATCTGTAAAGAAGTAATCAGATGAGAAACTGGCAAACACCTGCAAGTCTTCACTCCCGGCTTTGGTGCCCCTGCCCTTGGCTGTCCCTCCTGTTGGGTGAATGAGCTGCCTAGCTCCTCCCTGAAGCTGCCTCCCCTTGTGCTCCAGAGCCCACTCCCTGATTCCTACCCACAGGTTTCACTGCGGCAACTCCATCTTGCATCATCAAGTTTTCTCTTTCTTTCGGTAACTTATGTCAGTATACACACCTGCTGTTATTTCTGCTATCTTAAAAAAAGACTTTTCGCTGAGCACGGTGGCTCATGCCTGTAATCCCAGCACTTTGGGAGGCTGCGGTGGGAGGATCATGAGGTCAAGAGATTGAGACCATCCTGGCCAACATGGTGAAACCCCATCTCTACTGAAAATACAAAAAATTAGTTGGGTGTGGTGGCGCGCGCCTGTAGTCCCAGCTGCTCGGGAGGCTGAAGAAGGAGAATTGCTTGAACCCGGGAGGCAGAGTTTGCAGTGAGCTGAGATCACGCCACTGCATTCCAGCCTGGCGCCTGGTGATAGAGCAAGACTGTTTCAAAAAAAAAAAAAAGAGATTTTTTCTTACATAAAGATTTTTGTGAGTGTGTGGCATGGTAGGCTTAAAGTAGCAGGGTTCCGCCCATCTAACATGCTGTAATAAATGTGTTGGGGGCTGAGGACCTGTGCTTAGCTACTCCAGGAGTCCTGGATGCCCATCCTCCCTCCTGCTGCTTCTCTACCCCCCTGCCACCCCACGAAGCTCTTCATATCCTGTCCAATTCTGCCCTTTGTTCCTTTTCCTTTGGTTGACACCTCCAGGACTTCAGAATGTTCCCTATGTTCTCACCAAACAGCTGCCAGCCAGCCAGGCTCGGTTTTCCAAGTGGGCTTTCCTGTACTTTATGTTCATATCATGCTGTCCCCAGGCAGCCCAAGCAGGACGAACAGCCCTGCTGTTCAAGTACAGTGGCATGATCTCGGCTCAATGCAACCTGTGCCTCCTGGGAGAGGTCCTGGAACAGCCTCCCGATCTTCCCTCAGCTTTACTTTTCTTTTTTTTGTCAGAGCACGTGATTTCAGAGCTTTAGGGACGAGGCAGCTTTGTGAGAAGCATATGCAAGAAGGGACAGATTTCTGACATTTCCATAAAAGCACAAAGCCTTGTTTTGTTCAGAATCAAAGTTGGAAAAGTAGCTGGTGGGTAAGAGGTAATTCATGACATAAGCATGGGGTAATTAGCTTGATTCCATCAGCATGAGGTGGAACTGAGTTACCCAAACTAGATGTCAGCTCAGCCCAGCCACCACCCACCCACACCATCTGCACTCAATAAGCATTTATCTGTTGGAGGTTTTTCTGCACATTGCAAGATCGCTGTCAGAATCTGCATCCCAGTTCTGATAATGCTGTGGCTAGAGCCACAGCCTCACAGCTTCCCTTCTTCACCTCTAATCTTGCTTCTTCCTGCCTCCACTTGACCTCTGTGGTTCCCTTCCCAGCCATCACCTAGAGGTGATGCATGTGGCTGACACAGCGAACTCTGAGGGCTGGTTTCACATTTCTACATTTTTTTTTTTTTTTTTTTGAGACGGAGTCTCGTACTGTCGCCTGGGCTGAAGTACAGTGGCATGATCTCGGCTCAATGCAACCTGTGCCTCCTGGGTTCCAGCGATTCTCCTGCCTTAGCCTCCCAAGTAGCTCGGATTACAGGTACCTACCACCACGCCCAGCTAATTTTTTGCATTTTTAGTAGAGATAGGGTTTCACTGTGTTGGCCAGTCTGGTCTCAAACTCCTGACCTCGTGATCGGCCTGCATTGGCCTTCCAAGTGCTGGGCTTACAGGTGTGAGCCACCACATCCGTCCTCTGTATCCTAATTCTTTAGCAGCAGAGCTTTTTTGTGACTTTATCCTTAAAACAACAACATTGCTCTCCATTCATTAACTTATTGGGGATAAAAAGAGTCAGAGGTGAGGTGATCTGAGATTCTTCTATTAAATGACTTGGGGCTTCAGCTAAATCGTTGTTTCTTTATCTATCACTTGGCAGTACCAACAGAGGCTGAACCTCCATAGGGAGCTGTTATAACAACATAAAAATCCCCAAGGGGTACCTATGACGTTGGTTTCATGTGTCAAGTTAGCCGAGCTATAGCATCCAGTCATCTTATCAGGCACTTCTTTAGGGGGTGTCGTGAAGGCATTTTATACATGGGGTTAACATCTACACCCAGTCCACTTTCAATTAACAAGATTACCCTTGGTGATATGGTTGGGGCTCGCCCACTTAGCCGAAGGCCATAAGAACGGAACTGAGGTTTCTGGGAGGAGAAACTGTTTCAAGACTGCAGTGCCAATACCTGCCCGAGTTTCCAGCCTCCTGACCTGCCCTACAGATTTCAGACGTGCAGTCCCCATACACAGATGAACGAATTTCTTAAAACAAGTCTTGATGACTCTGTATCCTATTGGTGCTGTTTCTCTGCAGAACTCTGACTGCTACAGTACTGACTGATAGCTAGAAGAAGATACCTTTCTGTTACAAGTCCTCAGTGGGGAGGAGGGTGACTGAGAACCGCGTGAAGGTAGCTTTACGCAATAAATCCATCCTGGGCTATGCCAATATCCAAGGCTGCAGGAAAGAAGCAAGAGGGCTATTGGGCGGGGGACTAGAGGTGGGGACATCACCCCAGCACCAGGTTGTGGGGGGAAGGGACACTTCCACATCCTGCTGAGGTCCTCTCTGACCAGGGGCCGCTGGCAGGTATGGCTCGAGGAATGAAGTCGCAGCCTTGGACTAAATAGGATCAGGACAGAGCTTGGTACAAAGAGAGAGGTGCTGGCTAGCACTGGCACACATTGCTTGAGGACCTACTATGTGCAGGCCCCTCTGAAAATCTGCATTTCTTCTTTCTCATGCAGCTGGCTTGGTGAGCCACTGGGAGTGGCCGGCCTGAGTTCCTGCATTCCTCTCTTACCAGCAGGAGTTCAGGCTGCCCCTGAGCACAAAGGCCCTCCCTGCCCAGCTCCTGGAGAGCCTCCATCTGCGCACTTGGTGCGGTGATGTGTATGCTGTGAAGGGCTGGCGAAGCTCCTATCCCTGCACACCCCCAGGGGAAGTCCTTGAGTGTGGGCTCACGCATCTAAGGGCCACTTTGGAGTCACACAGGACTGGGTCTGTGTCCTAAGACTTAGCCTACGTTTCAGGCTCTCTCTAGGAGATGACACAGCCCAAGGCTTTAGGAGGGCTTCAGTGGAGGGGAGGGGCTGTTATGATGCCTTGAAAACTGTGAAGAGCCATGCATGCCCATTCTTCCTGCACACCCTGCATTAGTCTGGGTTCTCCAGAGAAACAGAACCAATAAGATGTGTATGTATGTAAATACAGAGAAAGAGAGAGATGAAGTATTTATTTTAAGGAAGGGACCCATGCAGTTGTGGAGATACAGGTCTAAAAATATGCAGGGTTGGCCAGCAGGCTGGGAAGAGCAGCAGCTCAAGTCCAAAGTCGGACTGTTGGCAGGATTCCCGCTTCCTCCTGGGAGGTCAGTCTCTTTCAATTCAGGCCTTCAACTGATAGGAAGCATTGTGGAGGAGAGGATCATCTGCTTTACTCGAAGTCTCCTGATTTAAATGTTAACTTCATTAACAATACCTTCACAGAAACATCTAGAATAATGTTTGACCAAATTTCTGGGTACCACGGACTAGCCAAGTTGACATATAAAATTCACCCTCACCCCAAGTGTCCAATCCCAGGGACAGGTATGTACCCTTTGTCCAGAAGCCTCACAGAAAGCCCTCAGAAAAAAGCCTGGGACCTCACTGTAGCTCCCATTCAGGTGACTTTATTACCAGGAACAGCAGGTATACCTGGTTCCACCCAGCTGTCCTGTAGCACAGGGTTGAGGTCGGTACTGCCCCTGGCTCTCAGAGTGTGCAGGATGAACAGGTGGGCTCTGGAACTCTCTGGAACCCATCAGGGCAATGCCCTGTGCCCAGGACATGCTGAAAGTACCTGGCATTATGTCACCTCCAAGGACAGACCCTGCCTGTCCTCCTTGAAGGGCCCATGGCCTGGGCCTCAGCTGTGCTCCTACCTCCTTAATAGGAGCACAATAGCAGCAGGCCAGCCCTTTATGCCAAACAGCCCCAAGAGACCAACACGAGGCCATGCTTCTCTTATACATTATAATAATCAGAAAATCATCAAAATGCTTCTGGAACAACCCACTCCAAAGAGTCCTGGAGGCCAAGGCACATGCAACCTTAGCTGCCAGCATTCAACCTTGGGAACTGCCCCCCTCATTCAGTCCCTCCCGTCCCAGCCCCGCTTCTGTGTTACAAATCTTCATCGTCAAAGGTCTCCGTGCACTGCAACATGATCATCTCTTCATCAACAGGAAAGGATGCTTCCTACAAGACACAGGGTGGAAGAGGTTCACTTTTTATCTGTGGGTCTCAGGCCCCAGGCAGATAGGAAGGCTCCTGCATCTCTGGTGTGTCCAACCCCCAGACTACCCTACGTCTCTTCAGCTGCATTTTCATCTCCAGCTTCCCACTTCCTTCTAAGTGGGAAGGTACCATTTCCATTTCACTGTCTTCATCACTCTATGACCTCCAGAAAAGACAGAGCAGAACTGGCTTCTTTTTTATCCTGGGGATTTCCAGGGTCCCATAAGAGAGGCAGAGGATGTCATAAGGCTTTACCCAAGTGCTCATCAATAGAAGACAGTGCACTGCACCACGGTGCTCCCACCAATGAAACACCGTGCAGCTGGTTTCCAACAAAAATAATGAGACAGTGCTTTATCTATGGGATGTACTATTTACAAAAGGCAAAGTGCAAAGAAAGCAATGTGTATCATAGGCTACTATTTGTGTTTGAAAGAATATATGAGTATCTGCAGAGTATGTTTGGATGAGTGCACAAGAAACTGGTCACTTCAGTTGCCTCTAGGGGAAGGTATGGGGTAGGAAGCAAGGGAGAGAGAAGACTAAGTATCCATTGTATATCTTTTGGTAACTTGTAAATTTTTTTTTTTTGAGACGGAGTTTCGCTCTTGTTACTCAGGCTGGAGTGCCAATGGCGCGATCTCGGCTCACCGCAACCTCCGCCTCCTGGGTTCAGGCAATTCTCCTGCCTCAGCCTCCTGAGTAGCTGAGATTACAGGCATGCGCCACCATGCCCAGCTAATTTTTTGTATTTTTAGTAGAGACGGGGTTTCACCATGTTAACCAGGATGGTCTCGATCTCTTGACCTCGTGATCCACCTGCCTCGGCCTCCCAAAGTGCTGGGATTACAGGGGTAACTTGTAAATTTTATGCCAGGTACGTAGGTTATCTATTACGAGATGATTCTTTTTTAAGCAGCAACACTGCAGCTGGGCATGGTGGCTTATGCTGGCTAGCAATGGCACATATTGCTTGAGGACCTACTATGTGCAGGACCTTCTGAAAATCTGCATTTCTTCTTTCTCGCGCAGCTGGCTTGGTGAGCCACTGGGGGTGGCCGGCCTGAGTTCCTGCATTCCTCTCTTACCAGCAGGAGTTCAGGCTGCCCCTGAGCACAAAGGCCCTCCCTGCCCAGCTCCTGGAGATCCCAGCACTTGGGAGATCCTGTAATCCCAGCACTTAGGGAGTGCAAGGCAGGCAGATCACCTGAGGTTAGGAGTTCGAGACCAGCCTGGCCAACATGGTGAATCCCCGTTTGTACTAAAAATAAAAAAATTAAAAAAAAAAAAGCCAACCATGGTGATGTGCACCTGTAATCCCAGCTATCCTGGAGGCTGAGGCACAAGAATCGCTTGAACCCAGGAGGTAGAGGTTGCAGTGAGCCAAGATCATGCCATGACTGCACGCTAGCCTGGGTAAAAAAATAGAGGCAGCACTGTTTGCTTAGCAAGGGTTTCTCAGTCCTTAAAGGGACACTGTAAACAGTGATCCCATCCAACCCCTGGGACTCTCCATGACCTTGTTCCCTACAAGTATGTTCCTGGGGGTTTTCTCTTCCTGTTTCTCTCCATCCCAGCAGAAAATGACCCCTGTAACTTGGCAGCTCTGCAGATCAGGGTTGATCCCCATGGGCCCAGGCGGCACCCCTGACCCCAGTCAACCATCTAATGACTGTGGGACCTGGTCCCAAGGCTGACATCCTGATAGTGGGGCCGACCTCCACACACTGAGGCTTTTCTGCCCTGGAGAAGCAGTTTCCGTTCACCATGCTCTCCTGATAGGGGCAGGAAAATAGGGATCAAGAGTGCCAGGGAGGTGGGACCACAGTGTCTGGGCAAATCATGTGGGCCCTTTTTTTAGTGGGAAGACGATAGCAGAGTTGAGAAGAGAATGAAACGTTTCTGTTTACACCAGAGTCTATCAAAGCCTGAGTCCTCCTACCCCAGAGCCACTTGGACAGGTCATTCAAAATGCAGATGCCTGGGCCCTGCTCTTGCAACACTGAGGCATCAGGAATCTAGGAGTACTGAAGTTTGGCATCTTTGCTTTCTTTTGTTGTTGTTGTTTTGAGAGAGTCTCACTCTGTTGCGCAGGCTGGAGTACAGTGGCACGATCTCAGCTCACAGTAACCTCTACCTTGTAGGCTCAAACGATCCTCCCAACTCAGCCTCCCGAGTAGCTGGGACTACAGGTATGCACCACCACACCTGGCTCATTTTTGTATTTTTTGTAATGATGAGGTTTTGCCATGTTGTCCAGACTGGTCTTGAAATCCTGGGCTCAAGTGATCTGCCCACCTCAGCCTGCCGGCAAGAGCCACTATGCCCAGCCACACCTTTGCTTTGTATGGATACTAGAATCCCTGCTTGTTATGTTTTCTACCATAGGTGGAGAAGGAGGGAAAGCAAAGATTGTCTTTTTTGTCTATTCTCAAAGTCTTGGTAAGTTAGGCTAATTTAACTGTATCTGAGAGAAAGAGGGGACAACTGCTGCAGGGGACAGTCACCCAAGGATTGGTGGGAAGGGGAACGCAAACTGCAGGGACGGGCTCCTACTCCACGTGAGGATCCACTGTGGTCCCAGCAGTGGGAAATGAAGACTTAGCTGGAAGAGGACTAAGTACTGAACAGGTGTCCTGACTATGTTTAGACAAACATTTACTATTATTATAACTTACCTTTTAAATAGTTGTATTTTTGCTAAATTAGTAAAGACAAATCCCTGGCTATGAATCTGAAAGGGCCTGTCCCCTTGGTGGCTCAGGCGTAACCCCCCTTCCGCGACAAAATCGTCCAGAAATGGTCTTCCTAACCAGGACTTCCACTACTCATGGCACCCTACGTGGAACAATTTGGAAACAGACATTAATATCCTTCAAAAGCTGACAGCAAATATTACTGAAGATGATGAAGATTACAGAAGATGATGAAAACAGCTCAGCGTTTTGGAAGAGTGTCAAGGGTTCACACAATGAACATTTATGAATGCCTGCTGAGAGTCAGGTCCCTGGGATCTGGTCCCTGCTTCAAAAGGTTCCTGGCCCAGGGCTGCCCTAGAGCAGTGCTTCCCAACCTTTATGGCACCAGGAACCAGTTTCATGGAAGACGATTTTTCCACAGAGGAGGGATGGTTTCAGGATGAAACCGTTCCGCCTCGATCATCAGACACTAGTTAGATTCTCATAAGGAGTGCGTAACTTAGACCCTTTGCATGAGCAGTTCACTATGGGTCTGTGTTCACTATGGGTCTGTGTTCCTGTGAGAATCGAATGCCGCCGCTGATCTGATAGGAGGTGGAGCTCAGGCGGTCATGCTCACCTTCTGCTGTGCAGCCCTGTTCCTAGCAACCATGGATGTGTACTGGTCTGTGGCCTAGGGGTTGGGGACCACTGCCCTAGAGGACACTGCTCTGTCTTTCCTGGTTCCCTGGAAATCTTCCATTCATTCTACAGGATGCATCAGGCTGAAGGTGACCATCCATGAAGCAAGCCAGAGAGAATGAGTGTCTCTGCCCAGTGGCCCCTCATGGTATGATTGGGGTGAGGTCAGGTGAGGGCTGCCCATGGCCCTTTTTGCTATCTAAGGGAGCTGGGCAGAGGTACCACAGCCCTCTACTCTGTCCTACCTGTTTTACTCGAGTGTTGGCACAGCCAAGACCTTTAAAAAAGTCGATAATCTGCATATAGAGCTGAAACTTTTCCTCTGGGTTTTCTGGGTTGGAGCTGGCAAGCATTGAACTGACAACAGAAAGGAAGAAGAGAAAATAAATATTCAGGATCCTGATCTTTCAACTCTGCCTCCCGCTCCCCTGAAAGTTTTGTGTTACAATGTGAACCAAGCACTTGTAAATTCTCAGACAGCCCAGACCTGTCCTTGAAAGGTTTGTGTTGCCTCTGCTCACATATCAAGTCTGGAATCCTCTGGAAAATTGAGACAGTGGTGAGACTGGCTCCTGTGCCTCAATTTAGTGTTCTGAGCTGTGGCTTCTGGAACAAGGGAACAAGAGTTCCTCTATCCCTCAGTCAACCTCCTGCAGAATGCCCCACGGTTCTGGTTCCACTGTGGCTGCTGAGGCAGCTCTGGAGCACGTGGTGCACCTTGAGTTCATTCCCCTGAGTTGCCTCTGCTGTGAGGGTCTAATGTGGAACTCAGGCCCTGGTGCAGAAAGGAGGCCTGTTGTGCAGGCTCTTTTCCTCCTGCCTGCCTGGAACAAGGGGAGAAGCCCTGTGTGACTCGAGCTCATGTCACCACAAGCAGCACGGTTTGGAAGCAGACATTAAAATCCTTGAAAAGCTGCGGGGCCTCAGAAGATGATGAGACAGCTTAGCCTTTTGGAAAGGTGGTGGGGGCTCATGCAACATTGAGGGATGCCTGCTAAGAGCCAGGGCCCTGCAATGTGGTCCCTGCTTCAGAGGGCTCCTTAGAGCACAGAGACTGTGCGTCTGTAGGACAGCTGCACTCACTTTCTGTGAGTCAGTAGGCAGCCCTCACTTCTTCCCGGGATGAGGTCCCGCAGTCCGCTTAGGAACCCCCTGGCAGCAACCTCTGACTTTTCTAGGGGAAGTAGGACGTTTTTAATAGGTTGTTTTCCTGTTCCATCAGCAGGGCAGGGAGTTCTGAATATTGCTTGGCAAGGACAGGCTGGCAGCTTCTCCATGGTTGTCTGAAGCCCAAGCTGAGCACAGAAACAGGAATGTCCCTTCCAGCCAATTGCAGCACAATGTAACCCCACTCACAGCTGAGAAGCGCTTCAGTCACTCTGGAAGGTCGATTTGGAGAGGACAAAGCCCTCCTCTGTCAACCCCACTTGTCCCTAAGTCCATCTAGGCCTGGGTGGAACAGGGAGAGTGGAGCCAAAATGCTGACGTATGGTTTGCCTGAAGCTCTGCTGAAAGGCCAGCTGGGTTACTAGGGACAGCTGTGGCCCCAAGGCCTCACAGGCACCCATAGGCCAGGCTCCCCTTGAGAGGACAATAGGGATATTCACTGGGATCACAGGGATATGTCACTTTCACTCCCAAGGCAGAAAAATGAAATGTCCAGGGTTCTTTTTAGCCACCACAGCAGCACAGATATCTGAAGAATCTGTGCCTTCAGGCCCTAAGACCACAGCTTTTTCAAGCAAAGCAGCAAGGGAATTTCAGTCCTAAATGATTTCTCTTTCAGAAAACACTCCTTTGGGACATGGTTAGTCAAGCTACTAATTGTTTTAAAATCTTTTCACATCCTATTTTGTGTCTTCCCACTTCATGGGGTCAGTGATCCTTTTCTCCCCTCCTTCCTATCCATTCTTATCAGGAAGTCCCCTAGACTCAGGGCCCAGGCCTGTTTGCATGTTGGCCTTATTCTCCGTGTCCCAGAGCCCCCTCCCTGCCTTCTCCTTCCAGACTGGCTGGGAGAACCTACCCACAAGCTGACCTGGGTGCTACAGACTGAAAGTTTGTGTTCTTCCAAAATTTATGTGCTGAAACCTAACTCCCAAGGTGATGGTGTTTAGGAGGAAGGGCCTCTGGGAGATCATGGATTAGGGCATGAAGGTGGGCCCCTCATGATGTGATTAGTGCCCTTATAAAATAGGCCCCAGAGCCAGGCACTGTAGCTCACACCTGTAACCCTAGCACTTTGGGAGGCCGAATCAGGTGGATCACCTGAGGTCAGGAGTTTGAGACCAGCCTGGCCAACACGGCAAAACCCTGTCTCTACTAAAAATACAAAAATTAGCTGAGCATGGTGGCATATGCCTGTAATCCCAGCTACTTGGGAAGCTGAGGCAGGAGAATCGCATGAACCCATGAGGCAGAGGTTGCAGTGAGCCTAGATTGTGCCACTACACACCAGCCTGGGTGACAGAGTGAGACTCCATCTTAAAAAAAAAATTAAAAATAAAGAAACAGGCTCCAGAGAGATGTCTTGCCTCTTCACCACGTGAGGTTTTATCCAGAACGTGTCCTCTGTGAAAAAATGAGGCTCTGACTCTGCTGGGACCTTGATCATGGACTCCCCAACTTCCAGAACTGTGAGAAATACATTTCTGTTGTTTATAAGCCACCCGGTCTATGGCATTTAGTATTAATGGACTTAAGGCAGGGATATAGCAGCCCTCAGCAGAGGTCAGCAGGGCTAACACACACTGGGAATGGGGTGCAAAGAGAACAGATGCACACCCTGCGGCTGATAGCCTGGTGTGTCCCAGCCCTGCGCCAGGATGTGACTCCTCTTGCTAAAGAAGGTAGGAGCTCATGTGTGAGATGCAATTACCAGAACCTCAGTTTACCACTGAGAAAAAGCTCATCAAAACCTCCCAAGGTGGACAGATTACTGGAGCCCAGGGTCCATAGTCTAGCAGTCTCATGCCAGGGCAGCTGCATCCAGAGGGTCAGAAAGACTCTGGCTTAGGCTGCAGGCAGGCCAACTCCCAGCTCTGCTCCTCGCTAGCTGTGTGGCCTGTGACAAGTTACTTCCTCTCATAAATTCTCCTCTATAAAACAGGAATCACATCAGTGTCTACTCATAGAGCTATTCCAAGAATTAAGTAAGATAATGTGTGTGAATTTTCTGCTCTGAAGACGCCACAGATAATGTCATCCCCAGGGCAGTAACACAATCCTAGGGCCAGCTCACTTCCAATCACAGAAAAAAAGGCGGATCCCTAAGAATACCCACTGAATTAGGTACCTGATCTGAGTTTGGCTCTGTGTCCCCACTCAAATCTCCAGTGGAATTATAATCCCCATGTTTTGAAGGAGGGGCCTGGTGGGGGGTGATTGAACCATGGGGGTGGGTGTCCCCCTTGCTATTCTCATGACAGAATTCTCACAACATCTGCTTGTTTGAAAAGTGTGTAGCACTTTCCCCTTCACTCTCTCTCGTGTCACCATGTGAGGATATACAGGTTTCCCCTTTGCCTTCTGCCATGATTGTAAGTTTCGTGAGGCCTCCCCAGCCATGCCTCTTGTACAGCCTGTGGAACTGTGAGTCATTTAAACCTCTCTTTATAAATTACCCAGTCTCAGGTAGTTCTTTATAGCAGTGTTAGAATAGACTAATACAACACCCATCTAGAGGCTGCATAGGAGAGGCTCTGGAACACCTCAGCAGGAGTACATACGCACACATACTCTGACAGACTAATCACATTTATGCACATGCAAACTCACATCCCACACACACAGTCTCACACCCATCCACCATGGGTGCATGCTATCTCACACCCTCTTCCTCACCTGGAGCTAGAGGTACTTGGAACCTCACTTTTGTCCAGGAAACTTGCCACATCAAAGGCATCTTCAAAAAGGATCTGAAAGAAAGCACAGCACTTCATGCATGGGAAATAACTTGACAATTTCACACTTGCTCTGGGCTGCTGGGGGAGAGATGAGTGGAAAGGCTCTCTCTTTACACCACTCCCCAGAGCTGGGGCCCACACCCAGGGGCTCTGCTCGGTGTTCTTCCTAGGGGGTGAATGCTAAACTCTAGAATGCCCAGGACAAACTGCCAACCCTTGAGGTGGCAGAGAGGGACAGGAAGAACTGGGGATTGTGACTCCTCTTGCTAAAGAAGGTAGAAGCTCACGTGTGAGATGCAATTACCAGAACCTCAGTTTACCACTGAGAAAAAGCTCATCAAAACCTCCCAAGGTGGACAGATTACTGGAGCCCAGGGTCCACAGTCTAGCAGTCTCATGCCGGAGCAGCTGCATCCAGAGGGTCAGAAAGGTTCTGGGTTAGGCGGCAGGCAGGCCAACTCCCAGCCCTGCTTCTCGCTAGCTGTGTGACCTGGGACAAGTTACTTCCTTTCACAAATCCTCCTCTATAGAACAGGAATCACATCAATGTCTACTCATAGGGCCATTCCAAGAATTAAGTAAGATAATGTATGTGATATATCTGGTTACATCTGAACATTGTAGGTCTGCTTTATAACAGACCTACCTGGCACATAATTGAACATTATCTGCTTTATAAGAGACATATATGTTCATTGTGGAAATTTTGGAAAATAGAAACAGATCAAGAAAATCAGAATCACTGAGAAACAAACCCACCCAGATATCCATTGTTGCCACACTGATCTAATCTCTCCAGTCACTTCCCTAGGTATAAAATATCATATATTTCCAATTTGGAATCTTGCCATATAGACAGTTTTTCATTCTGCTTCCCCCTAATTTGTTAGAGAATATTAAATATGTTACAGAAACATGATTTACACTTACTTGACTGCCAGATTTAGCAAATACAAATAGGAAATGCCAAGTTATGTTTTGAATTTCAGATAAAGAATGAATAATTTTTAGTATAAGAATGTTCCAAATAGTGCATGGGACGGTTTTGTATTAAAAATTTAACTGGACATGCTTTGCTGTAACCGACATTTCCTTTACACTGGCAGTCACCCGTCGGAGAGGAGAGGAAGTCCTCTGACCCTGAGTTGGCAGGTACTGGCAGGTTCTGCCAGGGTCTGTCCTCTCCTCTCCCCTCCCTGTGAGACACAGCTCTTCCAAAAAGATTGGTGTCTGCCCTTTCTGTCTTCTTTCAATTTGCTTCCCTGGAACTGAATCCCTTGGGACTCTGGCCCCTCTCCTAGTTTTCCGGACATTTTCTTTTATCCTTTTACTTGATATCTCTTTGGTCATTTCAAAAAGGGTTTAGAAAGGGGCCACAGAAAGACCTGTGACCCAGGGTCCATCAGCCCTGAAGCCCATCAGTTTCATGTTCCTCCCTGGCAGGCCTGGAACAGGGACCCAGACATGAAATTCCTTCCTTAAGCAATCAGCCCACCAAAGTCACTGGCCACACATCGTGCTCACCTGTGCAAATCCCTTTCCCAAGCCAGCCTGAGAGGGGACCCCCCAGACCAGGTTCTGCAGCCTTTCCAGAGTGCCACCACACCCACAGGGCAGATTCTCTCTGAACTGAAATGGAGCAGTCCAATGCCTCCCAAGCCCATCGGACCCTGCTGCTGGCCTTTAACATAGCAGTTCTGCTGCAGAACCTCTCCAGGTGGACCAGGGGCTGCAGCAGTTACATTGCACAGCAGGAGTAACTGTGGCTTTGTCCTGCCTCAGGCATGGGAGTTCTCTGTTCTGCCTACCTTATCACCCAGCCCTGGCCTGGCCTAAATCTGGGCACAGCAGTGCACACAGAGCCCTGCTTCTGGGCACAGCTGAGGGAATCTGCTGCCAGCTTCCTTTAATATCCAAGGAATATCATCAGCCCATAGGCCTCCCTGAAAAACCCAGAAAAGCTGTTTCCATGATTTGGAGACATTAGATTCTGGTTGTCTTCTCTTTGGATGTGTTCTTCCTGAGGAAGTGTTCATGCTGGCACAGTCAAATTTGACAGAATTGCTCAGGCATTTGGTAGATGCTGTCATGAATCACTTACTGATAGGGATAGGTTCTGAGACATGTATCCTTAGGCAGTTTTGTCATGTGAACATCATGGAGTATACTTATGCAAACCTAAATGGCACATATACATTTATTTATTTACTTATTTGAGACGGAGTTTCACTCTTGTCACCCAGGCTGGAGTGCAATGGCGCAACCTCAGCTCACTGCAACCTCCACCTCCCAGGTTCAAGCAATTCTCCTGCCTCAGCCTCCTGAGTAGCTGGGATTACAGGTGCTCACCACCATCCTCGGCTAATTTTTGTATTTTTAGTAGAGATGGGGTTTCATGATGTTGGCCAGGCTGGTCTCAAACTCCTGACCTCAGGTGGTCCACCTGCCTCAGCCTCTCAGGGTGCTGGAATTACAGACGTGATTATGCGCCTAGCCCATGTATTTATTTATATATTTTTTTGCATATGGAAAACCCCAAATCCAAGTTCCATTACTGAATATCAGTTGTTTCCCCGTACTTTATCTGCAATGTGAATATCAAGTGCCATATATCAGATTTCCATATATGCTCCATTATCATCTATGGGACTACCATTGTCTATGTGGTCTGTCGTTGCCCAAAGCATCTTCTTGCAGCCCATGACTGTGTTTTCTTCGTGAGAGACTCCAGGGCTTGGCACTTTGGGGCTACAAACACATCTGCTTGGCTGGCCTTTCAGACATGCCTTGGGTGTGAGGTCCTAATCATCCTTCTTGAACTATCATGGACCAGAATGCACATCTTCTCATGGTGGACACAACATCAGAGGAAAATGAGATCAGAAGCCATAGTCTGGTGGACCAATGCGTGGAGGTCGGGCAAGGGACCAAGGTCGTAGCTGGTAGACCATTGCTCATCTGCACCAGGAATTTCCTTCAATAGGACCCACTGCACCAGCCACCAGGGAAGCTTGTTAAAAATGCAGATCCTGAGGCTCCACCCTCAGAGGCTCTGATTCGGTGTGTCTGGGATAGCAGCCCAGCACCTGACTTTTGTGTGTGTGTGTGAGGTAAAGTCTTGCTCTGTTGCCCAGGCTGGAGTGTAGTGACACAATCATAGCTCACTGCAGCCTTGACCTCCTGGGCTCAAAGAATCCTCCTGCCTCAGCCTTCTGAGTAGCTGGGACTACAGGTATATGCCACCACACCTCTCTACTCTTTGAAATTTTTAGTAAAGTTGCAGTCTCACTATGTTGCCCAGGCTGGTCTCAAACTCCTGGGGTCAAGCAATGCTCCCACCTTGCTTGACTTCCCAAAGTGCTGGGATTACAGGCATGAGCCACCGTGCCTGGCCAGGCACCTGACTTTTTTTTTTGAGACAGGGTTTCGCTCTTGTTACCCAGGCTGGAGTGCAATGGTGCGATCTCGGCTCACCGCAACCTCCGCCTCCTGGGTTCAGGCAATTCTCCTGCCTCAGCCTCCTGAGTAGCTGGGATTACAGGCACGCGCCACCATGCCCAGCTAATTTTTTGTAGTTTTAGTAGAGACGGGGTTTCACCATGTTGACCAGGATGGTCTCGATCTCTTGACCTCGTGATCCACCCGCCTCGGCCTCCCAAAGTGCTGGGATTACAGGCATGAGCCACTGCGCCCGGCCCGGCACCGGACTTTTAAGAAACTCCACAGGTGATTCAGTTGAGAAGCATCAGGGAAGATAATGGGGGGTTGACCATCAACAGGTGACCAAAGGGCAGAGTGACATGAAAAAATGTGTGATGAGAGAGATACAGTCACTGACGAGGGAACTGGGTGTTCTAGGCAAGTCACGCTGCTGGCTAGGCCTGCAAACTGGAAGGACAGGAATGGGTGACATCTCTGCTGTTCTCCAGGCTTGGGCCTGATAGCTGAGGAAGCTTCCAAAAAAATGGGGGCATTCCAGGGCTGTAACCCCAGGGTCAGGGGCAACGGGAGGCTCTCTGGCTCTAAGACACCACAGAGAGACATTGGGAAACTAGCATGTCGTATTCTCAAAGGCGCCCAGACTGAGAAGCATATGGAAAGTCAGGTCAAGGGGGTGGCGTGTGTCAGGAGGAAACCATGGATGCTATATGTCCACTAAGCACAGGCGTGTGCAGAGGGCGAATCGTCTGCCCCTAGGCTAGAGGAGCTGGCGCAGCCTGGGCCGTGTGGTAGAGCAGAGATCTGAGCCCCTCCTCATTCTCAAAGACCAGCTGTGGACCCACTTTCATCTCCGTGCTGGGCGGCCTCAGATGCTACCTGCTTTGCAGACCATGGCCACGGCCGTTCTGACTAGCGGACTGAACCCTGAGAAATGCATGCGCAGTGGCAGCTGTGGTGCCCTCCCCTTCACAGAGCGGCCAGGTGCTCTTTGGGGTGGGAACCCGCCGCCTTTCAAGGGCTGGGCCTGATTGGTCTAAGTGTGATCCTCTCTATGGCCACTCATTGGCTCAGCAGGCTGGCAATTTGGCCAGTTCTGGCCAATGAGAGGGGAGGAGCTGTTCTGGAAACGTTCTTTCTTAACCCTCAAGAAAGGGATTTCGTAGGAAGTCTGTGTCTTACGGGAAGTAAAGGAGGAAGAATGACAGTTCGACTGCTCTGGCTGCCATTCCACAGCCACAGGGACCGGGGGAAGTGGGGAGGGGAGGGAAAGATGAGAAGCCGAGCAGAGCCAAGGGAGGCCTGAACCCACGGGCACATGGTGAGCTCCTCCGCCTGCCTCGGACCTCCTGGGTGTGAGGAGTGCATTTCTTCACGGTTTCATAATCCAGGCCCTAGCAGCCCAAAGAATCCCAATGGAGACAACCTCCCACGCCTTCTCTTCTGCCATCGCAGGGCAAGGCCAGGAAACTAACCGCAGAAAAAGAAATGCTGTTCCGCGGCCCCGGGGATTATTGGGAAAATCAGAAACCTACCTTGGGAGCCAGAAGGCAAACTGTACCTCCCACCTGCGAAATGCAAAGGCCTGTCGTCCCCGGGCGAGGGCGAGGGTGATTCCTGTGCCCCATCCACACCACCCCGGCGGGCCTGCTCACCTCCTCGGGCGTGGAGACCAATGAGCAGCTGGCCCCCTGACTGTCCACGCCGCTGTCCTTCACGCTGCCCTCAGCACAGGCCGCCTCCTGGCAGGCCCCCGCCAGGCTCGCCGCGTCACGGTGCTTCTGTGTCCAGGCCTGCCGGAGGCTGGCCTTCCTCTCCTCCGAGAGGTTCTGCCACAGGTGGGAGATGGCTGCGGAGACGATGGGCAGCGCCACCTCCTGCAGGGAGACGATCCCACTGCCAGTCAGAAGGTCCATCGTCTGTTTGTAAAAGTTGAGGTACCTGGAACAGAAGTGGCGCCGTCTCGCAACCCTGAAGCTCCCTCTCCAACCGTCCGAAGCTCCGTCTCCTGGGGATTCGGTTCATGGCGTGGACCCCAGCACACAGGCCTGGCTAAGGCGCCTCCACTCACCCGGGGCTTAGCCTTCTCTGACTCTGCACGCCCCTAGCTCTTGGAGAGCAGCAGCCTTCTTGAGGACCATGAAGGACATAGCCTTGGGCTTTGGGGCCCCTCCCCAAGTTCTCCCAGTCCCTGCCCCATGAAGTCCTCTGTGTCATAGAGAAGATATGAGGCATAGCTGCCTCAGCTCTCATCCTAAGGGAATATTCTTTAACACTCTGAACCCATAAATGTGCTACTATGATAGGACTCATGCTTTAACCTTCAGCCCGAAGTCAGGCTGGGCTGTGGAGAGAGCCTCCTGCTCTTAAGCCAACTCTTGAGGATGCCAACATGGCTGCCGAGGAGCCTTGAGTCTGTGGAGGAGGCAGTGGCAAGGGACATCTGAGCCAGCCATTCGCCGTCTTTCCTACTATAAGACCAGTGCGGACTTGGGGGATATGTGTTTTGGGGGAGAGAGGGGTTAGCCCTCATAATCACCATCAGCTGTGCCTCCCACAAGGCACCCCAAATAAACACCCAGTCTAAGTAAAAACACTGTATGATAAGCTATGATAAAGTAGCTTGGAGACTATTTCTCTAGCGTCTCTGCCAGTCCTGTCTCTGCGTCCCTCCCATGTGAAAATCCTAGAGAGTACATGATTCAGGGCCTGGTCTGAACCATGCACTCCAGCTGTGGTGCACAGCTGCAGCGTACCCCAGCCGGGGCCTCTGTCCCCTTCCCCATGGGAGGGAGCTCCATGGGTGCACAAAGCTACCCCACCCGGTTCACACCGTTCAAATTCCATGAGGTCAGGCGACAAAGTGCCTGGAGAGTATAAGAGCACTTTTTTCTCCTCTTCCTCTTCCTCCTCCTCCTCCTCTTCCTCCTCCTCCTCCTCTTCCTCCTCCTCCTCCTCTTCCTCCTCTTCCTCTTCTTCTTGGTATTCCTCTTCCCCATCTTCCTCCTCCTCAGCATCCTTCCTGACTGCCTCAATTGGGTACCAAGGGGAGGAACCATTCTGAGGAAAACTGTTTGAGAGCAGGCTGGGAGAGAAAACAGAAATGGGACAACTATGGCCTCGTATCCCTCATGAACATGGACAAGAAATTCTTAGCAACTTTAGCAAGTGTGTGTGTGTGTGTGTGTGTGTGCGCGCGCGCGCGCATGTGTAGGTGTACACTTCATGACCAAATGAGCTTTTTCCTAGGAATGCAAGATAACTGGTTCAACATTTGAAAATCAATCACTGCAATTCACTGGATCAACAGACTCCAGAAGAAAAACCTCAATAGATGCAGAGAAAGCATCTAACAAAATCAACAGCCATGCATGATAAAAACTCTCAGCAAACTAGGAATAAAAGGCAACTTTGTTAACCTGATAAAGGGTATCTCCAAAAAAACTACTGCTAACATCGAGCTTAATTGCAAAAGATAGTTTCCCCTCTTGATCAGGAATAAGATGAGGCTGTCCACTCTTACTACTTCTATTCAGAATTGTTCTGGAGGTTCTAGCCAGTCCAATAAGGCAAGCAAAAGAAATAAAAGGAATATAGATTGCAGCATAAAAAACAAATCTGTCTTTATTTGTAGACAGTGTAATTATCTGTGTAGAAAAATCTCAATCTACAAACATGTCATTAGAAATAAGAAGGGAATTTAACAAGGTTGCAGGAGACAATGTCAGAACATAAAAATCAATAATATTGCTGCATTGTAGCAATGAACAATTGAAAATTGAAATTTTAAAAAGCATCATTTACAATACCACCAAAAAAATGACATACTTAGGTTTAAACCAAAAGCTCAATCTATTTAAAAAAGGATAAATTGGACTCATTAAAATCTGCAAATTCTGCTCTTCAAAAGACACCTTGAAGCGAATGAAACAATAGGACACCATTTGGAAAAGTCAGGCCTTGCACCTAGGACCTCTTCATACGTGTAAGAATAATCCCCAAGGTACCACGCTGAGTTAAAGCAAGCTTGGCCAGGCACAATGGCACATGCCTGTAATCCCAACACTTTGGGAGGCTGAGGCAGGTAGATCACTTGAGGTCAGGAGTTTGAGACCAGCTTGGCCAACATGGTGAAACCCCACCTCTACTAAAAATACAAAAACTAGCCGGGCGTGGTGGTGGGTGCCTGTAATCCCAGCTACTCAGGAAGCTGAGGCAAGAGAATCACTTGAACCCGGGAGGTGGAGGTTGCAGTGAGCTGAGATCATGCCACTGGACTCCAGGCTGGGTGACAGAGCAAGACTCTGTCTCAAAAAAACAAAACAAAAACAAAGAACCACGAGATCATAAAAGTACATTTCTCAAATCAGTCTCTCCTTCAAAGTGTGAATGTGACATATTAATAATGTTCCCCTTTCAGCATTTGTGACACCTGGGTGTACCATGTTTTCTTTTCCTTGCTGAAGTCTAATTTAGCTTCTCTTAGATTCCTAGGAGGCTTACAGTATAGACTGAGATTTGTATTTTCCTTATTTTCATATGTATCCTCCAAGAAAACCATTAGTTGTGGCTTTAAAAAATACATATAGAAAAAGTTTTAATATAATATAAGCACTGTGGCCTTATTTCTCTAAAGAATAATGTGCAACATTAAAAAAAAAACTTGATGGATTTTTCCTGAAAATTAACACTGATTTTCTTTAAGTTCTGAGACAATATATGTTTTTAGGCTTTCGTGTATTTTCTGCATCTTCTGCAATAATCATGGATCATTTTTATAACTGGGAAAAGATTGAATGTATGTTACTAGAACAAAAGAGAAAGGAATGGTCTCCAGTATATGCCCATTTTGAATGATGAACAGCAGCCCCGACGGTCCTGCAGGCTGGAGGGGAAGGGTGAGTTGTTACCAGACAGCACTGATGGGTGTCAGAACACAGCAGGTCCCTAGCTTCCTGGGGCTTGCGGTTTCTTACCTGTCATTTCCAGAATACATGCTGGCATATTCTTTCTTGACCTCCTCTAAGCTGCTTGCATGCCCATCCTCCAGGTTGAAGGATGCTATTGGGGAGTTCAAGGCCAGGAACACAAAGGGAAAAGTCAGGCCTCTGTTGAGTTTTTCCCACCCTTCTGGCCCAGGTGGGCCATGGGTGGGACCCTGAGCTCTCCAGGGTCAGCATTAGGGAAACCAGAGCTCAGTTTCTCCTTCTAGGTATGAGGGGAGAGCCTTGGACAAGCACCAGCCCACTTTTTCTCTGGCCTCTGAAGATGAGATCAGGTGCCTTCAGCAGTGCCCCAGTAGGGAACTCATCAAAGTCACCTGGCCTGGTGACTCTGGCCAGTCCTGCTGGACTGCAGGCTCCCTAAGGAGAGGGACCTTTAACATTGGTCCAAGCACAGCGCCTGGCACACAGCAGGCCCTCAATAAATAGTCATTGATTCATTGTAACCCAATCTCTGTTTTCAATAGAAAAACTGGACTAGTTTTCTCCAGGGAAGGAGATGGGGTTGGCAAGTAGGAATCCATTACCTTTGAGCTTCAGCAGATTATCCAGGGTTTGCTCCAGTTCCGGAATATGACTCCTCGCCTTATTCAGAACCTGCCACTGAGGAGAGGCAGAGACAATGCTAAAGTCAGCCCCTCACTGCAGAGACTGGTTTTGTGCACCCAGGAATTCCTTCCCAGGGCTGAGGCCATGCTCCCTCAGATGCAAAGTTACATCGCTTAACTGTGTCAGTAAAAAGAATAGGAAGTTTGTTCTGATGCACAGAAGCCAGGAAGTTTTGTTTGTAGCCTAGAAATGGGTTCTCACCAAAATGCCAAAGTATTTGGAAAGAGTTAAGCTTTGTTCAGCAAGTTGCTAGCGCTGCAGAAAGGCAAACAACTATGGAGACAGCTTGAAGGTGGAATAAGGAGTAATGGAAGAGGCACGGTCTGCATGAATGTCAGCCTTGCACAAGGCACAGAGCTAGACTTCAGCTCAGTTGTAACATTGTGCAAGGGGCTAGTTAATATTAAATGTCCTAATCTCCCACTATCTTTGTTTGCTAAGTGCATATACTCCAGATGATCTAAAAACTTATTAAATGCTGTCAATCTCAACTGCAAATTTCCCTCCTTACCTTCTTCTCTCCCTCCCTCCCTTCCTTCCCCTCCTTCCCCTCCCCCTCCTCTCCCTCCCCTCCCTCCTCTCCCTCCCCTCCCTCCTCTCCATTTCCCTTCCTCCCTCCTTTCCTCCCTCCCTCCCTCTCTTCTTTCCCACCCTTCCTTCCTCCCTCTTTCCCTCCTTCTCTGTCTTCCTTCCTTTTTCCCTCCTTTCTTCCTGTATGTAACATTATTAAAGTCAAAATGGTAACAGCAAGATTACTAAAAAATGAGCAATGCTAAATGTTCATCTGTCAGGGGCTGCATGCATCCCTTGGACATGTACAAAGGCAAAACTGTGTGCCAAGTCCCAGGGATACAGAGTGCCTAAGACTGTCCCTGCTCTCAGGGTGCCAACCTCTGACACGGAAGACAAGCACAGAAACAACCCCTCATTACACAAGATAGAACTAAGTAGGTACTAACAAGGAGTAGAAGCAAAGGGCTGTGGAAATGTACAAGGAGGAGGGACCAGTTCAACTGGAGGGGTCCAGAAGATTCCATGGAGCGGGGCAGCTGAGCAGAGTGAGCCAAGCTCAGCTTTGAAGTGTGCGCAGAATCCCAAACACAGAGCTACCTGCATAAGCAGAGACACAGAGGCCCTGAGAGGCAGCCTGGCTCAGGGACCTTCTGCAGCGAGATGTGGCCAGAGTGTGGGGTGGGCATGGGAGGGGACCCCAAAGCAGCTGGGGGCAGAACAGCCTGGGATTTGACATTCTAGATTCCAAGGATTCTGGTGGGTGACTTAAAAGGAGACTTGAGGGAAGCTGGAATCACAGTGTCCTGCCAGCCCAAAGCAAAGGGGAAGGGAACCGCAGCTGCATGACAATACAGAGGATTGCAGGCTCCTTCAACACTCCCCAGGCCCGGGGTTCATGTTGATGCTATTGGGTCAGCAAGGACTTGGAACCAGGGGCTGAGTGACTTCCAGAATCTTGGGCTTGTTTGTAGGATGGAAAGATGCTTCTCCAGCTGCTGTGGTCTGAATGTGTGTGTTCCCCCAATATTTAGTATGTTGAGGCCCAATCCCCAATATGATAGTATTAAGAGGTAGGGCCTTTTGGGAGGTGACGAAGGTGATTGGTGTCCTTCTAAAAGAGTCCTGAGGGAGTTTGTTTGTCCTTCCACCATGTGAGGACACAGCAAGACAGCCCTGTCTAGGCACCTGACAGCATGCCCTCACCAGACACCCGATCTGTTGGCATCTTTGTCTGGGACTTTGCAGGCTCCAGAACCAGGAGCCATAAGCTTCTGTTGTTTATAAATTGCCCTGTCTAGGGCATTTGTTGCTACCCCAGCAGAAGTGGCAGCTCCAAGCCAGTCCCTGCCTTGCAGAACAATCTCTCCACACGTGGAAGCGTCTCCTCCCCCGTGGAAATGTCCCCTCTCCTCATCCAGGTCCCCTTACCTTTGAGGCTGTGAGATCAGACTGAGAGTACACTGTCTTCCTGAGATTGTCAAAGAGCGCTGCCAGGGTGGCTCGGTGGCGGGCCTGGGACAAGCGTCTCCGGGCCACCCGAGACTCAAGCTCCTGCAGCTGTGCTGGCAGCTGGGGTGTCGCTCTCTCATGGAGGTTGCTGCTTTCTTCAGGGGTCGCCATTATAAGCTGCAATGTAATATTATGTTTTGCCCTAGATAATAAAAATACAATATTAAAGGAAAAGGAAGACAAATTGTGGCAGGCAGAAAGGAGGGACCCCTCCCAAGTAAAGGCCCCAAATTCACTCCCTCCTGAATTCAGTTCTTGGCAAGATTTCCAGTGAGAGGCAATGCCTTTGAGAAACTTACAAAAGCCCTTTGAAGGTGATGTCGGTCATCTGCTAATTAAGAAGGGTAGGTGGAGATTATACAGGGTCAACACAAAATCTGTTATTGAAACTCAGCTCCTAAAGTTGCAGACCACCCATGTTCGACTTAGAGTTGAGGGGCCCTGGGACTTACCTCAGAAGGTTCCAACACATTGCAGGTACTCACCAGACACTTGTTAATTTCAGGGGCTAATTTTAAGCATGGCCAAGGAGAACAGCTGTACCTGAGATCTCAGGCTTTACAGACTGCTCAAAGCTGAACACTTACTTGTCCCCGCTGTGAGGTCTTTTCTCCCTTAAGAATGTCCCCTCTTAGATGTGGTTACACAGGTGTATGCATATGAGAAAAAAATCCTTCAAGGAGTACACTTTAGACTCATGAATTTTTCTGTGATACACCTCAAGGAAAAAACAAGGAAAACAAGAAAATTCACTTTACCACCTGTGCAAGCAAGAAGTCACCCAGCCACAGAGAAGTGAAAGCCATTTTGCCTTATCTGCCTCTAGAGGGTTCTGGAAACGATCACTGTGTCCTTCTTTGTCACATCTGAGCTTACAAGCCAGAAGCCCTTCTCTAGGGGAGGCGATCCTGGGACTGAAAAGTAATTGTTTTAATAAGTGGCCAGGGCCTCTTACCTGAGCCATAGATCCTTCTATAGGCCTCACCCCGCTACTCAGAGAGCTGCTCTCCACTAGCCTGCCTGCCCTTTGCCTAGGGAGGCTTCGACTTCATCACTTCTGTACCCTCAGGGCATAACACAGAGCCTGGCCCCCATTAAGTGCTCAGTGCTGGGGTTCTGATGAATTACAGTGAGATGTTTCTACTGGGTCCACTTCCCCCTGAGCTCAGTCCTGCTGGACAGAGACAATGCATGACCTCCGCCAAGGGTTTGTTAATTTTGAGGTATGTTAGAGTCACCTGGGGAGACTGTTGAAAATATACATGGCTAGGCCCTGCCTTGAAAACATTGGATTGGAACCCAGCATGCAGCTCACCAGGTGATTCTTATACTTTCACAATTTGAGAGCCACCACTGGCTCTTGATTTGTGTGTCAAGCATCACCACGGCTGGCAGCAGCTGGAAGCAGAATCTCCATTGAGGGATTATGGGGAAGGGAGATGGAAGAAGCCTTTCCCACTATGCTTTACTAGGGAAAATAGGCCAATGAGATGATAAACCCAATCAGGCAATGTGGGATTTTTAAAACACTTTTTAGGTCAAAAAACAACTTCTCATCAATAATCTGGTCTTCCCCAGTGTATCGACTTGCCCTTGTTTTGCGTCTTGGAACAGGGCAGCAAGATGGCAACGGTGATGTTCTGGTTGCCCGTGCTGGTCCCTGCAAGTCTGTGTCACATCTGTTACCAGGAGTTACACTGTGGTATCTTCCAAGGGAAAACAACATGAATCTGCAGAGGCCCCTCAAGCCTTGCTCCAGGGCTATGTTAGATTAGAGCCTGTGCCTTCATGATCTTCAATTTCCAGACACTAAGTAATCTTTAGTAGGAAGCAAAGTGAAACTGATGATTGTGAACTGCCCAGGGAAAATGAGAGCCTTTTGAACAGAAGAACGTAGGATTTTTTTGGTTATTGTTTTTACTTGTTTAAGTTAAGGAGCAACAGATGTGCCTGCACACCAGGAGATTTAGGTGAGCATACATAAAAAGGGAAGTGGGTGGGAAGCACTGTTCTAGGTGAACAGAGGTATAAAAATACCAGGGTCCTCCCAGGACCTCAAACTCTCTCACAGTGTCAGGATACTAACACCAAAAAGCCTCTGGGCTTGTAGGGAATCTGGAGCTCTCCCAATGCCAGTGCTGATAGTTTGGGTATCCTCACAAAGTTCTGCCCAAACACACTCTGCCTGAAATTGCTGGATGGCTGTGTGGACAGTTTCAGCCTGGACAAGGATGCAGTCCTCTGCCTCCCCCATAGGGGCAGGCTTCCCACCAGTTGCTTCTAGGAGCCACCAGGGCTGCTCGCCACTAGGGGTGGGGACAGCCCCAGAGCATGCTGGCCAAGCTGCCTGGAACCGCAGCCTCCACCTTGCCTGCCCCTCACCTACCCACCCTGCACCCCCTGGTCAGGAGCTGGGGGAAATTTCCACCCCCTCTTGGCTCAGGGAGGGGGCAAACCACAGGGAAGATGAGAGATGACGCTCCTATTGCATTTTAAGGCAGAATCAAGCCCTGGAGATGTTCCTTTTTTTGTTTTTTTTGAGACGGAGTCTCATTCTGTCTCCTAGGCTAGAGTACAGTGGCGCGATCTCGGCTCACTGCAGCCTCCGCCTCCCGGGTTCAAGCGATTCTCCTGCCTCAACCTCCCGAGTAGCTGGGACTACAGGTGCACGCCACCATACCCAGCTAATTTTTGGTATTTTTAGTAGAGATGGGGTTTCACCATGTTGGCCAGGATGGTCTTGATCCGCCTGCCTTGGCCTCCCAAAGTGCTGGGATTAGAGGCATGAGCCACTACGCCCCACAATGTTACTCTTAATTAGACCCTGAATGATTTTCAGTGTCCTCCCTCCAGATCCTGCCTCCTGCTCACTACTAGGAACCACTGTGCTATGATCCCCACAAGGCATTCTTTCCAAGTTATTTCGATCGACTTGGAATTTTTTCTTCTCTGTGGCCCTGACAGTCTTAGGTAGATCTTTTTTAGATGGAGCTCTTTTTTATCTAATAATACACTTCGGTCTGTCCCGTAAGCACCTGTGATTTGAGTGAAGGACTGGCTCACCTGGAAGAAGTGTCTCAGAATCACTGTCTAGGAAGAGAAGAGGAGGGCAGGACCCCCAGCCTTATTCCAAGGTTAGCTGTTTGGCTAGGAAGGGGGAATGAAACAGACTGTGAAAGGGGAGCTAACTATCGTAAAAATGAGATCAAGAAGTGATCTTTTATTTAGAAACAAAACTCTTCTCTCCTAAAAGCCCTCTGCAGTTGCAAAGTATATCAGAGAAGCTGCTCCCAGCAGTGTAAAGAATTATAGCAATGTAGAGAAAATAGTCTGAAATGCTCATCCTTAGGGTCTGGAACTGCATTTTAATAGCCTCGAAGACTCAGAATCTCCCAATTTCCCCTTTATGTCACTTTTATTCTTTTTTTTTTTTTTTTTTTTTTTGTTTTTTTTAGGGGGGGGGGGGACGGAGTTTCGCTCTCGTTACCCAGGCTGGAGTGCAATGGCGCGATCTTGGCTCACCGCAACCTCCGCCTCCTGGGTTCAGGCAATTCTCCTGCCTCAGCCTCCTGAGTAGCTGGGATTACAGGCATGCGCCACCATGCCCAGCTAATGTTTTGTATTTTTAGTAGAGACGGGGTTTCACCATGTTGACCAGGATGGTCTCGATCTCTTGACCTCGTGATCCACCCGCCTCGGCCTCCCGAAGTGCTGGGATTACAGGCTTGAGCCACCGCGCCCGGCCGTCACTTTTATTCTTTAAAAAAAGAATGGTTTGCTCCTCTGCTCACCAATCGTTATTCTGTGACCCATTGCCTCTCCTTCCACCTATAATGCCATCTCTCTGCCCCGGTCTGCAGTCTCCATCTAGAGCCAACTTGCCCTTCAATTCCCAGTTTAAGTCCCACTTTCTTTAATGAGCTTCCCAGTCCCAGGCCACACTGGTTTCTAACTCAATCATGTTCTGGCAACAACTCAGAAAAATCTTTGGTCAGGTTCTGTGTGTCAAGCATCAGTTGTATCCCTCCCAGGAAGTGGTACCATGTGTGGACTTGAAGGAACTCAACCCCCAAGAAAGGGTTGGCTTAGCCTGGACTGCTAAGACAAGAATCTCCCCAGCGTGGGGATGGGCAGAGACACTGGGTGGAATGAGCTAGAGGAAAATGAAGATTAAGAGGAAAGCTTGGTGGGTGGAGGGAAAATAACATCTTAGTTCTGCCCTAACCCAAAAAACCTTTCTGCATCCTAAGCATTCATTCCCTCAGGAATTCAGTTCTTGGCAAGATATACAGTGAGAGGCAATGCATTTGAGAAGCCTACAAAAGCTCTTTCAAGGTCATGTTGATCAATTGCTAATTAAGAAAGGTAGGTGAAGATTATATAGGGTCTAGAGGCTGGATATCCTATCCTGACTTGGGAAACTGGGCATGCTTGAAGAGGTGAACGTGACTGTTTGGGCACCTAAAATAAGTGAGAGTTGAGGGAACTCAGTACAGAAATAGTTTAAAGGAAGCTAATCTTAAGGATGTTACAGAGACACAGTCAAAAATGGAATGAGCTGGCAAAGGGAAACGCAAGTTGGGTTATGGATTGGCTTGAGACCTGGGTCATAACCATAGCTTCAGGCCAAACAACCTTGTGATCTTGTGACTTTGGATGAGGTAAGGAATCTCTCTATTCATCTATATATAAAGATGGGGTCTCACTCTGTTGCCTGGGCTGGTCTTGAATGCCTGGGCTCAAGTGAACTTCCCTCCTCAGCCTCCTAAAATGTTGGGATTACAAGCATGAGCCACCACCTCTGGCCTCTAGTTCTTAATTTCTTTTTTTTTTTTCTTTTTCTTTTTCTTTCTCTCTTTCTTTTGAGATCGGGTCTCACTCAGTTGAGTGATAACCTCATGGCTCATTGCAGCCTGGAATTCCTAGGCTCGAGTGATCCTCCCACTTCATCCTTCTGAGTCTCCCACCTCATCCTTCTGAGTCTCCCACCTCATCCTTCTGAGTAGCTGGGACTACAGGCATGCACCACTGGGCCTGGCTAAATTTTTCTGTACAGACAGGGTCTCCCTATGTTGCCCAGGTTGGTGTTGAACTCCTGGGCTCAAGTGATCCTCCCACCTTGGCCTCCCAAAGTGCTGGGATTATAGGCATGAGCTACCATGTCTGGCTTTAATTTCTTTATCTGCATAAAGGAGGTAAAAATTCTTTAACTAGGTTATAGTCTGAATGTTTTCACTTTTAAAAGGTTGTGGTCATGATTCTCTGACTATCTGGAGAAAAAAAAAGCCACTCATAATCAATAGAAGTGGGGTATAGAACAAACAGTGTGAGAAGCTACATCTTAAGGAATTTTGGGGACTTCCTTATGTTTATAAACAAATGTTTACTGAACACTTTCTCTGTGCAAAGCCCATTTATTATACAGGAAACTGGGGCCCAAAATAATACTAGGCATTTCACAATGGCCATAGCTCTAACATAATTTCCCGTTTTCAAAACTTACTGCTGACCAGGCACGGTGGCTCTTGCCTGTAATCCTAGCACTTTGGGAGGCTGAGGTAGGTGGATCACTTAGCCTCAAGAGTTTGAGAGGAGCCTGGGCAACATGGCCAAGCCCCATCTCTATAAAAAAATACAAAAATTATTCAGATATGGTGTGCCTGTAGTCCCAACCCACCCGGAAGGCTGAGGTGGGAGGATCATTAGAACCTGGGAGGCAGAGGTGGCAGTGAGCTGAGATTGTGCTACTGCACTCCAGCCTGGGTGACAGAGTAAGATTCTGTCTAAAAACAAACAAACAAACAAACAAACAAACATCAAACAAACAAAACCAAAACTTATTTCTGCGTTCAGTCTTGTTCATGAGATCTGGGCTTGTCAAGCATAACCTTTCAGCCTAACAAAGTTAGAAGACAGCTTCATTGATACCTTCTTCTAAAAGGGAATTTTGTGAGGATTAACATTGTTACATGATATATTTTTATTAATTCTTATCTGTAAAACAGAGCATACTTTCATTACTACATGTTTTCCTATTGAAACTGTTTAATATCCACTCAGAGCTGACATTTAACAAACTCC